CTTTTCCTGATCAAGCAGCATAGGAGAATGCAACATAGTAGAACCAAGATTATGAGAAGAGCCCCTCCTACTATGAGAATGATATCCTTAGTACTTAGTTTACGACCTCGTTTTCTTAGTGTTTCGGGGGCTGGAGCTGCTGGGGTAATTAGACATGGGATTGAAGAACTGTACCCACATAACTGAAGATTACCCACAAAGGCACTTGAGTTGAATTTCTGAGCAAGATGAGTTGGAACAGGACCAGACAGATTGTTATATGAAACATTGAAGGAACTAAGATTTGGTAAATTACCTAGAGAAGCTGGAATTTCTGCACTTAGATTGTTATGAGCTAAATCTAGTTGTCTAAGAGCAGTAATGTTCCCAATAGTGACTGGAATATCACCAACCAAATGGTTATTCCTCAAGTTAAGAATTGACAGTTTTTGCAAATTTTTTAGGGCTGTTGGGATTTGGTTATCAAGTTGGTTACTTTCCAAGTTCAAGACCACAAGTGAGGATAGATTAGAGAAGCTTTCGGGCAAGCTTCCATTAACGGCATTGTAAGACAAATCAAGTGTTGTAAGCCTAGAGAGCCTCCCAATATCACTTGGAATAGAGCCTGAAAGATTGTTATGTTTGAGGTCAAGGAAAATGAGGGAAGGAGATTGTGTGATACTTGTGGGGATTGAGCCAGACAAAGAATTATAGCTAACATTAAGCCTATAAAGCTTAGTAGAATTAAAAAGACTAGCAAGAATTGTACCAGACAATGAATTATTGCTCAAATCAAGTGTTTGAAGAAGAGGGCAAAAACCAAGAGAAGCAGGAATAGAACCAGAGAACTTATTGTTGAAGAGTTGAAGTCCTCTAAGATTAGGTAAGAGTCCCAAAGTAGAAGGAATTGAACCAGCAATGAAATTATCATGTAAACTGAGCTTTCTAAGAGCTTGAAATTGACCAATTTTTTCAGTAATTCTACCACCTAAACCTCTCCAAGGAAGCTGGATTACAATGACTTGTCCTTGAGCACATTTAATACCAAGCCAACCACCAGAACAAGCTCCTAATCCACTGTCATTCCAACTCCTCAAAAACCCTCTTGGATCAACTAACTCTTGCTTAAATGCTTGAAGTGCTTGAAAATCTGCTTGAGTAATAATTATACCATCCCAATCCTGGCCTAAAGCTGGCTGAATTCCAGAAATTAGTAGCGGAAATAACAAGAAAATTGGGGCAAATAGAAAGAACCTTTTTGAACACCAAGAAAAACCAGCTTCAATCTTCCATTTTTCCTTGTTTTTATCAGAAATAATGCATCTCCCAGCTCCTTCTTGAGTTAAAGACTTGTTAACTCGAAATGGGTATGGTTCAAAACTACTAAAGATTTGATCTTTAGTTCCCATTACCACTAACCTAACTTCTCAATTCTACAAGCTGAGAGACTAAGGGTTCAAGAATTGAACAAGATAATGTAAAGATGAAACTTTTCTATTTTCTTTTTTCTTTCCCTCACTCTTAGCTACCTCTAGTATCTTCCTATTTTGAAACTAAACAGTAGAGTTCACACTACAAGAAGATTTTGTAGTTAGAGGAGGTGGGGGGAAGCACGTGAAGTGGAGCATATAGAGCTAATAAATATGAAGGAATCTGTGAAAAGTTTATTGGGAGATATGAAAAAGTGTCAGGTGTGTGTGGCACCAGATTCAGAAGGCTCCCTCCCCTTTACTACATACAACTAAAAAGCCTATAACGGCTAGTTTTCCTGGTCCGTCCAAAAGCTTACATCGGTAAAACTACATACAACTAAAAATGCATTGGCCTTTGTAAGTAAAACTTATTATGGTCTGTAGATAAAGCTTACTAAAAAAGAAAGAACTATGTCTAGGGTTTGGGAACTGGGCTGTTTTTATTTTCTAACGGCTATCTTTTCCAGGTGGGGTCCCAATTCTACACTGGATTAGAGTGGGCCAAAAATTAATACTTTCACATTCTCCTTATTTGAGTGATTTGCCATTTTTGCCCATGACAGTTCATCCATTGTATTTTGGTTGAGTCCGAAACTTTTCCAATGCCTTTTTGGGCAAAAAATACATTTCTACTACTAAATTTTTTTTTACATAAATAACTAAAACGTAGTATAATACTGTATTTTACTTTAACGGAAAGTTAGCCGTTAAAGTAAAACGCAATATAGTACTGCGTATTATTATTAAATTAATTTTTCTTAAGGAAAACGCAGTATAATACTGTGTTTTCCTTAAACGCAGTATTGTATTGCGTTTTCCTATTAATATTGGGCCCACCTATAAATAATAAAAGGGAAACGTAGTACAATACTGCTTCAGATTTTCTGCTTCTGGTGTTTCCGCACCTGCGGATTGGGGACCACAGGTGCGATGCCGCAGATGCGGGGAAAAGGAGCGTAGAAGCGGAAAGGGCCTGGAAAGGCTGGAACTGCAGAAGCGGCTTAGGAGTCGCATCTGCGATGCTGCAGATGCGGAAAAAGGGATCGCAGAAGCGAAAATTGGGACTTAAGTGGAAAACCACAGATGCGGTTCAAGGACCGCAAATGCGGTACCGCAGAAGCAGAAATTGGGCTGCAGATGCGAAAATGCTTGGGCCAGAACATATAAATAGTTGCCTTCGTGAATTTGAGCTATTCTTTCACCATTTTCATCCAAGTTTGAAGCTTTTGAGAGAGATTTTTGAGGAAAACAAAGGGGAATCACTTGGAGGTAACATCCTTGACTTCATAACTCATTTTATGTGATTATAGACCTAATTAGTGGTGAAAAATTTGGGGAAAATGGGTAATTAGGGGTTGAGTTTAAGAGACCTTTAAATGAGGATTTGAGGGGTCATTTGGACTCCGATTTCAGTGTTCTTGTTATGTATAGGCTCGTGAGAGTACGAGGTTTCTGAAAATGTAAATTTCACCCGATTCCGAGATGTAAGACCGAGGGGCATTTTGGTCATTTTACATAATTTCGCGTATTAGCTTAGACTTTAATTGTAGAATCAGATACTTGAAGTGTTATTTACATTATGCAATTTTATTGAATAGATTTGGGTCGTTTGGAGTCTAGTACTCGTGGCAAGAATGTGGTCTCGAGTTGATTTTTGAGTCGGTTCGAGGTAAGTGGCTTGTCTAACCTTGTGTGGGGGATCTTCCCCTTAGGATTGGTATATTTGGTAATTGAAATGCCTTGTACGTGAGGTGATGAGTGCGTACTTGCGCTAATTGTTGGAAATTCAGTTTTCTTTAAGTAATTATTAGCATGTTTCCTTTCCTGTTTCTATTACTTGCACTATTAAGCATGTTGTTAGCTTAGGAAATCATGTCTAAGTGACTTAATTGCTTTATTTGTTCAACCTGCCTTACTTGAATTTTGTGCAGCATGCTAGGCTAGAATCACTTGTTGCCTTCATATGAAATATTGCCATTTCTGTATATTTTTCTATTGCTACTGTGTATTTATTTTGGGACTACGAATGTGGGATTCCAGTATCTCCCCCTTTTCTGTTTATCTTGGGACTACAGATGTGGGATTCCGGTAGCTCCCCCTTGCCTGTTTATTTTGGGACTACGGATGTGGGATTCCGGTAGATCCCCCTGCACAGTTATATGAAACTATGGGAATGCACCCGGTAGATTCCCCCAGTATTGGATATTTATATTTAGGACAATGGAACGGGATTTTAGTAGATCCCCGCGCCCTTGAGTTGGACTACGGGACGGGATCCCGGAAGATCCATTGGATATACATATGGGACTACAGGACGGTATCCTGAGAGATCCCCGATCGTTATCATTGGTGTTGAGCTGTACTTCCTTTCCGTGTTTACTTTGTTTCTGTATGGTCGTTGCTGTCCTGTACATCCTGTATTATTTCACTGATGTACTTATTTATACTGTTCTATCCTATACTGTTGACCTTATTATTTTATTTAACCTCAGTAGGGCCCTGACCTTCCTCGTTACTACCCAACCGAGGTTAGGCTTGACACTTACCAAGTACCGCTGTGGTGTACTCATGCCTCTCCTGCGCATGTTTTTCATGTGCAGATCCAGGTACCGCTACTCATGCCTACCATCCTTGAGGGAGGTGACTACTCTAGAGACTTCGAGGTACATCTGCCGCTTTCGCAGATCAAGAAGTCCCTTTCTATTCTAGCTGTTAAACATTGCCCTTCTGTATTTTCTTTGTTAGATATTTTGGAGTTAGACTGTTAGATATTCCAAAGGCTTGTGTTTTTGTGAGTTTTCGGGTTTAGGGATAGTGTACTTGGTTTTGAGAATGTTGCGTTGTATATGCCGAGCGACATTATAACTATTGTTTCCATTCAGTTATTTTGGTTTTGATTATTTCTTCTGCAAGTTTCATTTATGTTCCGCATTTATTAGGCTTACCTAGTCGTAGAGACTAGGTGCCGTCACAATGGTTCACAGAGTGCGAATCAGGGTCGTGACAATTACATATCTTATTATCCCATGCCCCCCAATTAGCTAGGACCAATGAAAATGTTTTCGAGGCCTAGATTAGACAGTAGGTGAGAGTGCTGAAGACTACTTATGTGACGACCCGAAGGGTCATCACCGTCGTTCTTCCTTGTTCCGCGCTTTCGAGGCCTTGAAAACCTCGCTTTTAGTTGCCTCGATTGGCGTGCGCAGTTCGGGCGCATAGCCGGAAAGTTTTTATGTTAGAATATGTGAATTTATGTGAAAAATTTGATGAATTTTGATATTAATATGCATAATATTGACGTCGGTCAACATTTTGGGTAAACGGACCCGGACCTGTGATTCGACGGTCCCGTAGGGGTCCGTAGAAAATATGGGACTTGGGCGTGTGCCCGGAATTAAATTTCGAGGTCCCAAGCCCGAGAAATGAATTTTTGTGTGAAATTGTTTTTTTGAAATTAATTAAGGAAAATGAAGAAGAAAATTGATCAGAAAACTATGGTATCGGGCTCGTATTTTGGTTCCGACGCCTGGTACGAGTCCTAAATATGTTTTAAGCACTATCTGTAAAGTTTGGCTAAAAACAGACGTCATATGACGTGTTTCGGACTTAAAATGGGGAATTTGAGTTTTTATGAAAGTTGAAAGAAAATCATGTATTATGAGGCTTGATCCTATGTATATGATGTTATTTTGGCGATTTGATCGCACGAGTAAGT